TGTTAATGTGGGAGGAACAACTAAGAAAAGGAGGGTGAGAGTGGTTGCACAACTCGAAGAATGTAATCAATGTCACTGAATTGTACATGTAGAAACTGCAGAACTGGTGTATGTTTTGCTGTGTATATTCTCAACAACCGCAAAAATTTTAAAGAAAGAAAACCCTATGGAGCACAGTGCTACTCTGACACACTTGGGGTCACCATGCATCGAAGTCGATTCTACAGCAACTGGAACCAAAAATCCTTGCCAAGTGTTTCTCTCACCTGGAAAGTAGAATCATGATGAGGAAGTGGTTCAACTTGGCGTATGTAACAACTAGTTTTCCTTAGATCAAAGCCATTTATGAAAAGACCAAATATATGTATAATCCAGCCAAGCTTTGTTAAAATCTATCAAAAACAAGGACAAAACGTTTTAAGAAGCCTTGGTATGAATCAACAATTGACAACTAAATACTGAGTCTCAGGACCTCAGAACAATACAGAAGTTTCAACTAGTGGGCCAGATTCTTGCTTTCCAAACATTTTTAGAACCACAGATGTAATGATAAAATTCTGAGTTAATATGCCTGGTAGATGCACTAGCCAGAATCACAACAACCAAATTCACCGCTGTTTTATATGAAAGAGAAAACAAGTAATATAAAAATATAACTGGTGCTCTACTTTAACAAATCCCTAGCAAACAAATAAAAATATTGAAACACAAATAGGGTGAATTTTATCATATGTGAATTATATCTCAATTAAAAAAAACTTAATTACAAAAACAAAACAAACACACAGTATGAAACTTATTGAAGTAACACATTATGAAACTTAGCAGAAAACAGACATATTTATAGTTTTATGATTAGGGTGACAAGATTGAATTATGTACGTAAGGGAACCTGTAAACAATCCCTCTTTCTCTCATCTTTGGAAAACCTTCTTATGGCTCTTACTATATTGTATTTTCCATTAGAGTAACCTGGGTATTTGCTCTATTTCTCTTCCTAAATCCTGGAGAATGACTATTTATCTTTGTGTCACTTTAAAGTCCCTAGCACAGCATCCTGCATTTTGCAGGCAGGCAAATATTTGTTAATTAACTGCTAGTACATATATCTGAGGAAAACTAGAGATTCACCTCTCAAAAAATTCATTCTAATACTGCTAACTCACCCCAAAAGGGTATCAAATCTTTCTCTTCAACCAGAAGGACAGTATGATTATAACACTTGAAGACATTTCCTTCCACCAAACAAAACAAGGCTTAAACTTTTCCCCCTACAATATTTCCCTAAATACCCCTAACTCACCCTGATAAATTTTATCTGCTGTCTTTTCATGCAATACAATTCCAGAAAGGGTGAAGCAATAAGCTGTGTACTAACAGTACTAAATAAAATCTGCTCCAAAGAATTACGACCTTCCTTCCCAGTCAAAATTTCTATATTAAACAACTGCTCAACACAGCACTAGTTGAGGCCTTCTACTTGTTCCCTATGCACACTGCTCAAGCCATTCAAACATGTAGCATCATGAAACAACAGTCAAAATCTAATAATCAGTAAATCAAGGCAGAAAGCAAATACCAAGAACCTCACCTACCATCTAATCTTCAACAGGTAGCATTTATCATAATGAAGTCAAAGAGCAGTCTGGAGAAAACAACCATTACTTTGATTTTGGATATTCTCTACCCTGGTGGCCCTGAAAAGCTCACTTTTAAGAATATTCAGTGATTAAAAAGCATCCACCAAGTGATGATGGTGGCATAACTTTGTGAACCACTTAACTGGGTACTTTAAAAGGGTTGGTTTTATGGTACATGAACAATAACTTTTTCTTTCTTTTGCCCAAAATTCAAATCAGGTCCGTAGTTTAATTGCATCAATGTCAATTTTCTGGTTTGGATAATTGTACTATGGTTATGTAGGAATATTAACATTAAACAAACAAAGAACTGCTCCACAGGGTTTTCTTGGCTGTTATCTTTACCAAAGCAGACTGCCAGGCCTTTCTTCCCAGTGCACTGGGTCGGTTCACATAACTCATTTTTTAAAGACAGAGTTTTGAGGGGCAAGGAGGGTGAATGTTGGAAAGAACAGTGCACCATTACTTCAGAAGTTGTGGCTATTCTAAAATTCCAAGTAACCCTGACTATTTACCTAACATAGCTAAACCTCAGTTCATCTAACAATAAAAGAAGACTGAACTTACCTAACAAACTGGAACTCAAAATAAGTACATTCTATCAGGGAAAATGTTTATTCTTGTAAGCTTTGTGCTCTACATTTTCATTCATTTCAGGTCTTCTATTTTAAAGAGAATCCCTTGTCCTGTAAATGACTTGGATCTGTAGAAAACTACATTAACACTTGAACGGGTGCTACGTAATCATTTCTTTGGAAATCTATATTCCTAATTTTTCAAAAAGATCCAAGGTCAACACTGAATTCCAAGTTCCGATTTGAGATGGCTGGAGACAGGCATAACCAGGACCTTCCAGTGAACGGGAAAGACACTTTGTGTGAAAGCAACCACGTCTACTGGTTGCTGATGGCAGTGCTGAAGGAATTTCAAAAAGAAAGTAGACAAACTAACCAGCCAGTTTTCAGGAGAAATGACAGATATTCATCCTAGGTGGACACATTTTAAAAGTCATTCTAGCACTTTGATCTCTAAGCTCCCTCAACTAGTTTAAAAACACACCCATCACGAATTTCAGCTATGGCTTGAGAGCAAATGGAAACATGGAAGCCCTACTGTCCATTTCCTAACTTAAAAAAATAAACTTGCAACCTCTATGGTCTCCCCCCCCGCCCCCCCATGAAAGTTCCAGTCCAGGTGCTATTTCCAATTTTTTCCCTGCTTCTTCCAAGCATAGTTATCTGATGGTGGCATTTTATGAGCCTGAATGGGCCAGAACATGTAATCCAACAGTCTCACATAACTCTGGACTTCAATTTAGAAAATCCATTCTTTTCCAGACATCCGAGTACAGCATACTTTTTAACGTTAATTGACATTTTATAGCAGCTTCTAAAGTCAGTAACACCAAAACAGGTTTCTGATTTAAAAAAAAAAAAAAGTTGGCAATAATGTAGGGCTTTTCTGATCGACAAACACTTCCCTAGACATTTTTATATCTCCACTTCTAGCAGTGTGAAAAAGAAAAGGATTAAGATTAAAACTGCAAATCTGCAAACCTCAGGAACAGAAAAAACAGCCCTCCTGTGTAAGAGGTAATGCCTAGTCACTCAGCAATAACCATTCCAGACCACTGCTCTGTGGATGGTTATCCCTTGATGACTATGACTGATGGCTAGATAGGTTATAAATTAAGTCCTAAGACTAGTCAGCAGAGTGACACTGGCAGCTCCAGATTAAGGAGGGAGAGCCAAGAAAGAAAATGGCTGGATTAGAGGAATTTGCAAGATAAGGTATGGGGAAAAAAAGCACTTCAAGGGGCCTTTAAGTGAACTAGTTTAGGTAGCCAAAGTTTCTTCATCTAAGCAAAGAAATAAAAGCTAAGCTTCTCAGTTCAAAAAGAAAACAACCACCCACACAAGTAAAAGAAATACCACAGTCAATAAAACAAACCAAATCCAAACTATGTGCTGCTCAAACTGTGTGCTCACATACCTCGCAAAACTTTCTTCAAACCATACCCTTTTGCCTCTAGAGAGCAAACTGTAGCATAAGTTTCCAAAGAAACTAAACTCCTAGAGCCCTTTTATGAAATCCACCTACGTAAGAGATATGACAATACAGAATTTTAAAGGGAGAAATCAATCTGTCCTCACTTAAAAAGAGCTGCAAAATTTCTGTGAACCAGCCCTCCCAATACACGGCTAAATAATGAAAGGACATTCTGCCTTTCTCCTTTTTTTCTTTTAAACCAATTCTGGCAGTTTCCAAAATAAGCATCATTAAATGAGAATACTCATTTGACATTCCTTCAAAATCAGAACCTGAAAGCATGCTAGCACTTAAGCGGCACCTAAACACAGGAAGATTTTTAAAGACCAAACAAACTGAAATCACAGAAAGTATTTCTATTAGCTATGGCCAGAAAGGCATGTGACAACTATTAAGTTACAACAAATCCTCAAGTGTCTGAAGAAAGACTAGATTACTGACACGTGGATATAGACAGAGCTATACACAGCAACCTAAATAAGGTAATCTATTTTAAAGCAATGAAAATTCTAAACATGTCACTGACAAAGGACAATCCCTAGTCTAAATCCTACTTAAGAAAAGGGCACATAAATCAGTGTAGTTTCCTATCACATATTAAGTGAGGAACCCTAACTTTGTGACACTTTAAGAACTTTTTAAGCATAAAATAACCCAAGAGTGAAAAAGATCTTTGTATTGATAGGCAACAGCTTCTGCCCGATCACAAAACTGCAATGCATCTTGGGATTCCTTCAGGATGGTTCGGTGCCACTGACATTTAAAACGTAATTACAGTTTTAATAATAGAAAATGCAGCAAGGGAAACGCTCGGCTAGGCTTAAGGGGAAAGGAAAACTCGAGCATTTGTCCTCCCCAACTCCTCTTATCTCTCAACGCCCTCCCGACTGACTCCTAGCTCCATCTGTTCACCTCTGGGCCTCGTGGCACCGACCGGCCGCGGTCCCCTCGCCGTCCCACACGGCTCCGATTTCTAGAAGGTAACTGTGGCCCCAGGGGAAAGGGCGGGCCTTCACCCTCACCGGGTCTCTATGGCACACAGCCGCCTTCCCCATCTAGTTCTCCACCGCAGCGACTCCAGACAGGCCGACTCCCCGGGATCTGGGCCGCCCCACCCAAGGCTGCCGGCTCCCGGCGCCGCTGTCAGTGCTCCACGTGCCGGCCGGGCTCCTGGGCCGCGCGTCCCCGGGACGCTCCGAGGCGCGCCACCCGGTCCCAGCCCCACCCCCACCCCATGTGGGCTCCTGACCCCGGGCCGGCTGCTCCCGCCGTCCCGCGCCCCCGGGGCTGCCCCGCGTCCCGACCCTGTACCCGAAGGGCCTCCTGCGCCGCTGCCGGCTCCGTGGTTGTTGGCGGCGGCGCCGGATGGGGATGGCGGTGGCTGGGCTGGGCCACGCAAGAAGGACGGCACGAACTCGGCGGCGTGGACGTTGGGCACGAAGGGTTTGGCGTTGACGTTGAGTTGCCGGCTGAAGGCCGCGCTGAGCTGCTCACGCTGGGCCTCAGCTGCCGCCGCCAAAGAGGCGCTGCCGCCGCAAGGGCCCGACCCGGGGGCTTCCACGTCCGCCTGGTCCCAGCAGTCGGGTGCCGAGTCGCTGCTGCTGCTGCCGCTGCTGCCCCCGCCGCCGCCACCGCCGCCGCCGCCACCGCCGCCACTGCCCGGATCCATGATCGGGGGGGCCGTGTGTGTGGTGAATAGAGGGCGGGAAATGGAGGCGGGGGCGATGGGCCAGGGAGGAGAAGGCCGCGCTGATCGAGGGAAGGCAGCGAGGCAGAAGGGCTGGGGGCTAGCGACACAATCTCCAGCGTCGCCGCGGCGGCAGCTCCAGTTCCGACTCGGCACTCGCGACGACGACGGCGGCGACAGCGGCGGCGGCGCTACCCTCCTCCTCGTGTGTGCGAGCGGATCTCCTCCCACCGAACCCCAACCACCTCCGACTGCCTCACTGCCAACCCCACGCCCGGCAAGGATTGACCCCTCGCCGCCACCCGTACCTTCGCCTTGGTAGTTCTCGGCCCTGCCCGCCCCCTTTTCCGGCTATGAAGCGCGGCAGAAGGAGGAACTACGAGTTCCGGCAGCGCCCGCGCGACCCCGATGCGGTTTTCCCGGAGGCTTATGGGAGTCGGAGTTCGGAGGCCGGGTGCAACCGGAAGCGGCTCCTGCTCCCGGCAGGCAGCGCGAGAAGGCGGAGGTCTGGGAGCCGCTCGGCTGCCCCACCTGTCACCGGGTGGGGGCAGGGGCAGGCCGTGGCGCGACGCGGCGCTAGGCGGAGGACGGCAAGTCTTTCAGCCCCCGGGAGTGGTCCACTTCGTCCTATTAGGCACAGGATGCGGGAAAACGGGCAGCAGTTTTAAAGTGGAAAATATGCTCTGAACTCCTGAAAATTCTTTTCTTCTCCTTTCACCAGTCTTCCTGCGTTCTCTGCCCCGTCTCCCTACCTCGTTCTCTTTCTTTCCACCTCTCTTTTCCCACCCCCAACCAGAAAATTTGCCCTACATTTCAAAGCCGCCTCAGAGCGTCTTTCATTTTATATATTGCTTTGGTGGAAGAAGCAATAAAACTGAGACTTTACAACAAAACTGAAGTGTGGCTCATAAAGCGCTCAGGGCCCAGCCTCTGCCCCGGCCGAGGAGGTTGTTAACTGGAAACTTACAGTGACTCACGGTCTGTTTGACTAGTCATTTAAATTCTTCACCCAAACTTTTCCATCCCTTCCCTCTCCCCGCAAAGGGATTTGCAGATTAAACAGGATTACCATATTCAGCGATGCATCCGCCTGTATTCTCGTGCGTTCAACTTCCTTGTGTACCATTAGATGAGTGGTTTCCTTTTGAATGGTCTGATTTTCTCAAGTATTCACGTAATACATTATATTGGCATCTCACACTTAATTGCGTTTAAAAGCAAAAATTCCCGTTTAGACTGACTTGCACGACGTGGAGCCCGGGTGGTTCAGTGGTGAAGAGCTCGGCTGCTAACCAAAAGGTTGACAGTTCGAATCCACTAGCCGCTCGTTGGAAACCGTACAGAGCAGTTCTACTCTGTCCTATAGGGTCGCTGTGAGTTGGAATTGACTCAACGGCAACGGGTTCTGGCATGAAGTAGGAAAACAACGTTGCTGTTAGTACCTATTAAATTTTCAGCAATTCGCATATGTGGAGCCCAAGACAGAAAAACATAATGTTGTTGATAATCTTCTACAAGGAGTCTAGACAGTGCAACTAACGTGCTTGTAATTACAGAGTGAAGGAGTGGACGCACAGAGAATAGGTGTTTCTTAACAACCTTAGGTTAAGTTTGAAAATATGGTTCCAGATCTGAATTTTAATTTTAAACACCTGTATTTTAAAGATAAACGAGAACTCAGCCTAATGAAATACAGGTAGTCCCTGACTTAGATGATGTTCCCTTCCCGGATAGATCGGTTCTGACATAAGGTGAATACTTCATTTTTTTAAAGTTTTCATTATTATTGCTTTTTATTGCTAGTATCTTTATAAATCGTAACATTGAACATTTGGGAGTGAACATCTGAGAATAAAAACATCAACAAATTACGTCCTGTAACATTGTATGTAGTACATATTACTAAGGATAAGACGTACAAATGGTAGTAAGTTGGGTTTGTGGTAACTCAGTCGGGGACTACTTGTAGGTCGAAAATGAAGCTGTCAGGTACCTTTTAAAAAGTCCTACTCTATAGTGGTTTGGAATTGTATTTAATATTAAACAGCAGATTTTATTAGATTTTTTTTTTCTTTGACAGGTAACAGTTGGGAAACTGGGCACTATACATGCAAATAAACCAGAGACCTCCATTATAACAAGGCTGGCTTTAAGCTTCTCATCAGATCTGTGGTCTCTACTCTCTGAAATCTTATGGATGTTGATTTTTTTTTCCACGTTAGATGATATATGCTTCTGCTTAGTATAAAATTCTCATTACAGCCTATTAATATAGTTCCCCAAAGACTCAATTGAATCTTTTTTAAGGATGACCCATTTTAAAGTTGGTATTAAGTGATTGACCTCAGATTTACAGGAAACTTATTAACAATTGATATAAAAATCAAACCTTTTGCATATATAAAAGACCTGTATTGATATTGAATGAGATACTTTCATCTTATATTCACAACAAAAACAAAATATAATGTGCCCAAAATGGAGAAAGTGCCTTCTCAAGATTTACAGTCTCCAATCCACTCCCAAGAAAATGCTAACACTTGCAGCTGACTTGGAATGAAGAGCCACACTGTCCTTCTCCCACCATTTTGTCATCTGACAACTCGCTTCACAGGGTATCACGCCCAGGGAACTAGATAATAACACTGATAGGCTAGTTCTTCAAATCTAATTAAATTATAGCAGAGTTTCTTCATGCCTTTGTTTCTAGGGACAAAGGCAGAAACTGCTAAGACTGTTTGCTTAGAAATGCAGTTGATGTCCTTCACTTCCATTTGCCTGAATAGGATAATTATGGATGTTCAGGAAAGAATCCACTCCAGTGATTTTCAAAATCCTTTACCTGCCGGAGTTGAGACACTGCTCCAGGAAGAAAGTGAGAAGTCCTTCTTGATAATTACAGTTGTGCTAAAACTGAGCAATTTTCTTGTATTCCTGCTACCTAGTACAATGTAGGCCATTGTTGATTCCAACACATAGGTACCCTACAGGACTGAGTAGAACTGCCCAACAGGGTTTCCAGGGCTGTAATCTTTACAGAAACAGACTGCCACATCTTTCTCCCTTGGGGCCACTGGTGGGTTCGAATTGCTGACCTTTCGGTTAGTAGAAGAGCCGTTAACCACTGCACCACCAGGGCTCCTTTAGGCCACATAAAACCAAAAAACCAAACCCACTGCTGTTGAGTTGATTACAACTCATAGTGACCCTATAGGACAGAGTAGAACTGCCCCATAAGGTTTCCAAGGCTGTAAATCTTTACAGAGCTGCTGGTGGGTTGGGTGGGTTCCAACCGCAGACCTTTCTGTTAGTAGTCACGCACTTAACCGCTGCACCGCCAGGGCTCCTAAGTAGGGTATACTCTCTGAATTCTGTGAGTTGTTCCAGCAAGTTAACGAACCCACTGGGGCAGTGAGAGCTAGCAGGGGCTGACATTTGCCTATTTGGCCGTCTGAAAGAAGGTGGCCTCTAACGTATGAGTTCTGATCTAGCTCTGGGTGGCTAGGGCTGAGAGTGCCTTGTGAGTAGCTGGTGATGAGGATAGAGAAATGGGAAGGTAAGAACTAGATCCATTTCCACACTTTGGGAATTGGATTGATGCTGATCCTTACTATGCAGTTAGCAAGGTGGGATTTTCCCACATTGCCCCTTGTTTAGTGCAACATCCCAGGTGATTCTATGTGAAGCCAAGCTTGAGAACCACTGGGCTAGAGACAGATCATCTATCCTAGGGAAAAAAGGATGTTGGGAAATTAATTACAGTATTCAGTAGTACTCAAAAGTAAAACTACTGAGTACTCAGTTGGGGTTTTGTTCTTGGTATGTAGAGCCAACTCTGATTTTTATTCATGGAGAGTTAGAACCAGAGTAGCCCATTAGCCCAAATAAATAAAGAGGAGAGAAAACGTACTGTTGTATTGCTTGATTTTGTATCCCCTCCAACATTTTGTCATAATTGGTAACAACTATTGTGATAAATACTGGTTCTTCACTTTGACTTACCTTTCTTGTTTCCTGGGGTTTGCTTATTTTTAATAGCCTTATTGACATAAAATCAGGGCTTCCAACCAGGTTTGCTCTGGTTCAAACCCCTGCTGAGAATTTGCATTTCCACCCTAGATACATGGAATCAGAATCTACAGTTTAACCAGATCCCCAGGTGATTCTTATGTATAATGAATTGAAGGAAGAAGTCTAAACATCACTGAAGGGAATGACGAGAAACAAGGCTCCAGGAATTGACGGAACACCAACTGAGATGTTTCAACAAACAGATGCAACGCTGGAGGTGCTCATCCGTCTGTGCCAAGAATTTGGAAGACAGCTACCTGGCCAACCAACTGGAAGAGATCCATATTTGTGCCCATTCCAAAGAAAGGGGATTCAACAGAATGTGGAAATTATCGAATATCATTAATATCACACACAAGTAAAATTTTGCTAAAGATAATTCAAAAGTAGTTGCAGCAGTATATTGACAGGGAACTGCCAGAAATTCAAGCCAAATTCAGAAGAGGATGTGGAACAAGGGATATCATTGCTGATGGCAGATGGATCTTGGCTGAAAGCAGAGAATACCAGAAAGAGGTTTACCTGTGTTTTATTGACTATGCAAAGGCTTTTGACTGTGTGGATCATAATAAATTATGGACAACATTGCGAAGAATGGGAATTCCAGAACACTTAGTTGTGCTCCTGTGGAACCTGTACATAAACTGAGTGGCAGTGTTGGAACAGAACAAGGAGATACTGCATGGTTTAAAATCAGGAAACGTGTGCATCAGGGTTATATCCTTTCACCATACCTATTCAATCTATATGCTGAGCAAATAATCTGAGAAGCTGTTCTATATGAAGAAAAACTCGGGCATCAGGATTGGAGGAAGACTCATTGACCATCTGCTATATGCAGATGACACAACCTTGCTTGCTCAAAGTGAAGACGGCATAAAGCAGTTACTGATGAAGATCAAAGGCTGCAGCCTTCAGTATAGATTACACCTCAACAGAAAGATAACGAAAATCCTCACAGCTGGACCAGTAAGCAACATCATGATAAATGGAGAGAATACTGACGTTGCCAAGGATTTCATTTTACTTGGATGCACAATCAATGCCCATGGAAGCAACAGTCAAATCAAATGACATATTCCATTGGGTAAATCTGCTGTAAAAGACCTCTTTAAAGTATTAAAAAGCAAAAATGTCACTTTGAGGACTAAGG